TTGCCCATTCCATGTACTTTATCTTAAACTCATAGTGCTCATTTTATACATCTAACCGATTTCTTTTTTCCCATTCACCTACCTATAGTTTATTATATAATTGAAAGATGAGATTATTTCCTGCCACATCTTATTCATTATGTTATTGTTTGATTTTTTTTGCTTGCAAATACAGAAGTGAAGCCCATTCCATCTGGAGAATTGTGCTGGAAGTGAAGAAATCCAATTTTGCAGTAGCCTCGTATTTTATTATTAAGATAAGCTGTATTTTCAGTCATTATCAGGCATGGTTCCCTAACTTCCCTTTTATACCCACTTACTCATGCAACTTACTCATTTTTCACCACTTTCATTCCTCATGCCAATCCTACCTATTGTTTCCCTCCTTTTCTTATGCTTATGCTAATTCATAGTCACAATTCAGTTTTACACATCCACCATGACTGTGTACATTGCAACTGCATAGGAGAGCAGACATGGTTTCTTTTCATGTTCACGATATTCTTGAATGAGCTGCAAGTTTTCTTTGAGATGAAGAATGCACCAAGCTAGATTGATAGTTCATTTAAATCATAGTGACAGGGTAAATTTGTGAAGAAATTGTTCTTAACAATATCTAATGTGGAATATTTTGGGCTACAGTATTTTACTCACTAAATTTCATCCTTGCAAGGTGTAGTTTTGTCTCAAGGTATTTAGACCTGTGTCTTCAACTTGTTTTGCTCATGCTTTGGGTGCAGTCTGAAGTGCTTTTGCACTGGCTTTTAACAATCATTGATACCAGTAGATCCACTCAAAGACAATGAAAACTGTGAGTGCCCTTAGGGCTGAATAATTCCTTTCCAAATTATGAACCAATAAAGAACTATGTCCAAAAATGTGTCTGCTTTCTGACTCTATCTGTTATTCTGATGAAAATACTGTCTCTTTTTTGTTTTGTTTTACAATCTCTTTTATGTTTTGACATACTAAATCAGTTTACATTGCCTAAGGTAATGACCATATAAGAAAGAGACCTTTAGCACCAAAATAAAAGTCTCTACCAGTAAACCTAAACGGACATGAATTTCTGCACAGCAGTATACTGAAATAAATTCTTCAAGAGTATTATTAATGGGGAGAAATAAGAAAGTAGTCAAACAGGTTCAGTTATAGAAATAAACCAACACAGGTAGGTTAAAGTGAAAGAAGCAATAAAGTCAATGCCCCTTCTCTAGGCATTGACTGTGAATTATTGTTACAGAATATACTCTAGGTTATAGCCACAGTACAGGATAATTAAAAACCATTCAATTTCTTCCCTGAGATTAATTTTCATCAAGCTAAAATGTGACACAGAGGAAGAACTGGCTGAATATATGTAATCTCTACATCTTGAAATACTTTATTAAGTAGAGGCATTCAATCTATTAATTAGTGTATTGTTACAGGCAATTGGAAACCACAGTCCTTAATCCAAACAGAGTAAATTACAAATGAAGAAATACTGGATTACCATTTGCACAGATATTTTGATTTTGGCTCACAGTATTGTTTCCTGAATTCAATGATGTACAGGAATAAATTAATATGAAAATTACAATGAAGATATTTCATTACAATATGATACAGATCCTCTCTTTATGAGAGACATGCTCGGTAAAGGCCTTAAGCCAATATCTGGCTGTTATCTTATTTGTACAAGGCTGCACTTGAAAATCATGGACAATAACTGAGAATGTATTATTTTATTTAGTTGTGTTATTTTGGTTCCTTCTCCTGCACTGGATTTGTGCAGAGAATGCTCAACATCTTTATCAGAAAATCCACAAGGTCTGTACAACTTAAATCCCATTAAGGCTTCCAATGAGACTTCAGTGTTGCATCAGCCCATTACACATGAGTGACTTTCACCACAATTAATGCCCCTTTTGGAGCACAGTTTTCATCTCTAATCAGAATTTGTTACTCTCCAAGCAGAAAGCATTTTGGTGCTTCAATGGTATACACTTTTTTTCTGTCAAGGACAGCAGTGGCTCTGTATCATGGATGCCTGCCATTAGTAACAACATACAGACAGATTGTGTAATAATTCTTAATAAATTACTAGGTGTTTACATAAAGAAATGCATGTAATTTATCATTTGCACAGGAAATTTTTTTATTTTTTATTTATTTATTTATTCATTTTGCCACTTTGGAAATACGAGGGCTGGCTGATTTTTCAGCATCTGTTTTCTGTGTTTCATCTATTCTTAGTGGCTTCCTCTACCTATTTACTTTTCTATGTTATTTCTTTTTCTCTTGCTTCAGATCCACTGACAAAAATAAGGAGATAATTTAAGAAACTTGAAGCTTTACATAACCCTCTGACTGAGTCAGGATAGCCTTCTACTTACACAGACTCAAGTTTCTCCCAGCAATGCTATGTCGTTTCCAAGTTATATCATCCCATCTTTGCACAATTATCTGACCAAGTGCTGCAAATATAACTGAGCAGCTAACTAATCTGGGAATTCAAACTATTAAGGTATTCAGAAATTCAATCCAAGGAGTCATACAGGCAGGTATAGAATTATGTAGCATTACATTAAAAATCTCATGTAAAAAACATTCATTTTTTTCTTTATTTATTTTTTGGTATTTAGGGCCCAAATTCAGACCATAAAACTATAAGAATAAGAACTAATGAATAAGATGAGAAACAATTTTAAGTTAGGAGCCCAGTTTCTCCAGTGAAGGAATAGGCAGTTGTGTATAAGTAGAAGGGTTGACGACAATTTGCCTATAATTGAAGATATGATCATGTTCTTGGTATTATACATCATCCTAGAGTGTTTGAAGTATGTATTTAGTGTGATGAATTTCAGATATATACTCTTTAACTAAGGTAAATTCTAGGGAAATTTATTGAATGCTGGAATAACAATTAACCACTGCTTATTTTCTTTCAGGACTCGTATCCCAACACATTCAGGAAATTATTTGTATGATTGCCAGATTGGATGCTTTTTCCAGCTTGTTGGTGGCAAGAACTAGGGCCCTCTCCCTAGGAGTAATAACTGCACGTTTAGAAAGAAATTATCTAATAAGCCATATATGTTACAAGATGTGAAAAAGCATTCCAACTAAGAGCCAGTTCTCCTTGTGCCTGAATGGTCACATTCAACACAGAGCTAAGAAGTTTAGCATTTCTCTCTCCTCTGTTTCACCTGGTATATTTTAATGCAGCAATTACCTTAGGCAAAAATTCAAAAGAAGCAAGATCTTTTATATGAAGCAGGAGAAAATAAGCGTTTATATTTGGAGACACTTTTCATGTACGTCTTTAACTTTTAAATAGGCCTTTAAAACTCTGTCCAGGATTATGTGATGTTCTTGAAGGAAATATGTTCACTGAGAAAGAAGGTAGGGAGAGGGATGAGCAGAATCTACCTAAATAATCTACTGATCTCATTTAATAGAGGGAGAGAAAGAGAGAGAATTACTCTATTACAATAAAAAGATTTCACTCTATAAAATAAGGAGAGATTGTTGCCATGGCATCAGCAAAATTCATCCTTCACATAATTGCACACACATGAACCTTTCTTGACAGAACAGAATTATAAATGTGCAAGGTAAAATATTTTCTATTATGCTTCCTCACAGAATTTTAAATAGATATTTGCATTATATTTAGATGAAATCATATAGGTAATTATCTCTTGCAAATATCTTCCAAAGCAAAGCAACAAATTTTGTGCTGACATGGAAATGCACATCTCAGAAGGCACTAGGTAACTCAAAGCACACAGAAAAAGATGCATTCACTTTCAAGCTGCTCTCCAACATAGATTTCTCATGCATGAGAAACCTCTCTCAACCTTGACAAAACCATATTCAACAGATAATCAACAGGCTTAAAGCTGTTCCTGGAATGACTGAACAACTCACAGTCATGTTCCTGGGGATGTGTTCTTCATATTCCTACTATTATTACTACATGGGTTAAGAAAGCATAATCTTATGTTCCACTCTATTTGTATTTACAATGCACATGCTATTTTATGACAATTTCCCCAAGTACACTGAGTACTTAGCAGAGAAACTTTTATTAGAGAGTTCAGGGGCCTGAGGTCAAAAGGCATTGCTAGATTTTCACTGCACTTCTCCATTTCATGCACAGAGATTTCACACTGGTCTTCAATGTCAACACAAACATTGACTTTATATGGTGGTATAATATCATTGTTCACCTCATATTAGTCCTTGCAGTTATAGTGAATTTAAAGATAGCCATTTTGAAGACAAGAGGAACCACCTTTAAAAGGCAGTAATCAAATAACCCATGTTCTTGTACAATACGTGATAAATAATTGTTATGCTAATTTCTGATTAAGTAATAAATGTGTACATTCAAAAAGATCACTGATATGTTGATGATCCCAAGTGATTAGAAGATTTCCAATCACTGAATAAGGTCTTTAATAAGCAGATTTTTACTGTTTTATATATATATATGTATGTGTGTGTGTATATATATATATAAAATAAACTCCTTTACAAATGAAAGCATAATTTCTGAGATTTGTCTGACTTCTAGCCATTAGACTACGTTCCATTTTTAGTCAGCCTTAGTTCTGCCCATGTAATATACAGGTGTAATTCGGCCACCTTTTACAGTAGACAGACTGGGCTTCTTTAGGATGCAAAATAACTTCTGCGCCCTTCTGAACAACAGATCTGGAAATAACAACCTTGAAGTGTTTTCACAAAAGCCACACATGCAGGTAGTATCACCTCCTAATTTCTAAAGGAAAGTTCCTTCTCCATAAGACCTCTGAACACATAATTTCTCATAGCCAGCGCTCTACACAGGGAGTTCACAGTTGGTTGATTATCCATTATGACCGGAAAGTCTTGTCCAGAGGCAAGACCATTTTGAGCATAGTTCCTCAGTCTGACAATTTGACCTACATTCACTGCTCCTAGATGCATGATGTTGCATTTGGTTACACCGAAGTTAAATTTGGACTTACCAGATGAGGAAGGTAAAACATTCAGATGATGCTGTATAATTGGCTTGTCTTTGAGCGGATAAAATTTGAAACTTCACATTCTCTCTGCAGGATCTGTAGTCTTTTTCTATAAAGATAAGAATTCACCCTCCAGTGCTCTCTACCTCACAGTTTCTACCAGCATGACACTCCTGGAAAAGGTAACGAGAGAAAAAAAGATTGCAACTTTGTATAGTGATGTCTTTAACCCTTCCTTTTGCCAGCTATCAATTCACATCCAATCATTTAATATCCTCAGTGCTGAAGCCACCCACCCTTAGAAACTTTGTTGCACAGATCTAGAACTCACGTTTGCTGTGCTGACCCATCAGTCTTTCCTTTCCTTCAGTACACCAGAGTGAAAACAGATGTGCTTTGCTGCATTCTAACATGCCATGTGTTGCAGACTGACAAGACAGATCATAAATAATACAGAGCTTCATTCTCATTACAGTGATTGTAATGAGAAAGATAAATGGGTTCAAATAAAACCATTCAGACTCCAGTGATAAGATTACTATCTCTTCTGAATGTGTATCTAACCCAATTTCATGATATCATTATCCTCCCTGAAATGCAATGGAATATATGGCAATTTAGAGGATCAATCCTCATATATTTTATATATTCTGCGCTTTCTCTAGCACAGGAAAAGTCCTTTCACTTGATCTTCATTATAACTACAGTTCTAGGTATCTGCTCACAGATGATAAAATACCTTGCTACACATTAACACGTACATTGATCTGTGCACACAAGACAGTTGTCTCTCAGTTGGCTTATTCCTTAAAGATCAAAGATCTTCTGTTATGACTTGTACTGAGTTGAGAAATGTAATTAAACAAAACTGAGGAGAGAGAAGAATTAGAAATACCTGAAGAAAGAAACTCACTTGTTTTTCAGACGCAAATAACATTTTCTAGCAATATAACTACTTTGTGTACTTAAAACTTGACATGACTTTTTGGCAAAGTAAATTTTGTTCTCTTTCCTTTTTCTTCCTGAAAGGTTTGTAAATTTCAGTAGCCAAAACGCACAGAAAGACATAAGTGAAACATGGACATTTTCTCTGAATTTGTGGATTGAATATTACTTAAGTTTCCACCAATCCGTAAGCCCGAATGTTTATCACAATGTTTACACAGCTTTTTATTCTTCGCAGAATTATCAAGTCTTTACTGTACATCAGTATTTAGATGAGATTTACCCCTGTTGACTCAACTAAATACAAAATAAGAAATTAAACAGCATTAACAAAACACTCAGATTTGAGCCTCCATTACACATTAGCGTTTCCCCTACATCAAAACTGCCAGAGAATGAAAGTAACTCCTCTGCTCCGGGCTGCAGGAAAGCCTTAAATCACCTCTTCTTTCCAGAAATGATTAATAATTCCTGTATATAATGTAACTGTAACCTTGTGTAAAATATAACTGTATCTTGTGTATGCATGAAAGTGCTTCAGGATGAAAACTGCTGTATAAATGTAAGCTGCTATTAATTATGGCACCCAAAGGAACGTTCAGCTAGCTTAGTTTTCAATCTGAGCCTATATTAACATTCCCGTGTGTTCTAAATTTCCTTTTCTCCACACCTTTTTATTTGCCATTCTGTCAAAGGAATACAAATTCACCATTCCTATTCAACTCCAACCACAGATATACACTCCCTGCTGATTCAAATGCAACAATTTACTAATGAATATATTATTTCTGAAGATCAGCTGAGGCTACTGAGAGGCAAAGACAAGGGAAAAAGTGTATGTACATACACAAATGCATATAAAAAGGGAGATTAAGAATGAAGCTGCTGTATATTGATTTTCTTCAGATTTCCAATTGATTACATAAAATGTGGCAAGTAAGAGAGGTAAAAGATGATAGGGATTATAATCAAATTCATCATTTGAGAACACCTTCAAAGCACTTCATTGCAGAATCAAATCTTACATGACATAAATGTACTAAGAATCTAAAAAGTATTTTCATCCATCAGCAGGATAATTATCTGGTAGATAAACACTCAATAACAACTAGAGAATAATGAAAATGAGAAGTCAGCCTTCAAAAAAGATTAGGGCAAGAATTCATCAGCAGGATTGAGTTGGACAAGGCAGCAGCCCTTACACCTCTTGTGCTGCAGTTGGCACCATGAGACTTCTGCCATAATGCAGTATTAGGCCTTTCTAATGCAGTTGAGTATGGAACTGATTCGTTTCTATGATCCACAGCAAAGATGTGATTTTGAATACCAGATATTTTGTGATGATCATAAAATAGCAGCAATTTCAACACCTGGTGGTTTGTAATTCCCTTCAGAATTGTGAATTCTCCCTTTGTATGCAGTCCTTATTAGTTAGCAAAATTAGCTTACCTACACATACTTAGTATGGGGCTCTCCTTTAAACTCTTCACAGATAAATCTGGAGAACTCATTCTTAAACTTGAGTGGCATGCTAGAAATGTGTTACCAAATATTAACTTCAGTATGATATACAGTCACACTGAGAGGTAGTTCTCTTCCATTCCAAATTTCTGTTTGCCAGGAAACCTGCTCTGTCTGGACCTTTCATGTCACAAGACAGAATGTTCCCTGAAGTCTTGTTCCCTCTTTGATCTGGGCCATTACATCAGGTTAGAAAGATTGTAGACTGAGTGAATAGATAATTTTTACATGCTGAAGCAAGAGGTAGATCTGTCTGTGATCAAATGATTGATTAATTGAAGGTTTCATAGATTTAAGCTGCATTGCTAACGTGCATCACAGTACTAAGAACCTAGGCTGAGGAATTTGTCTTCTGACTATAGATAGGATCCAATCGCCCCTTAAGAAACTGTTTCACCCAAGGTGCATCTCAGAGAGGCAAGAAAGACCTTTATTACCTTCCTTATTTTACACTTCTCTTCAGGAAAGCAACTGCAAGGTTTTCTTTTGGTACTTGTCCAAACACAAGAATAAAGAACAGGAAATCATTTCAGACCTCTTACCAGCCCAATGGAATCTCCTTGTCTTGCTTGCTGTGGATGCTAAACTGATTTTTCTTTTTTTCCTTTATTTTTCACCTGCTGTCTTCCACATTACACTTTGTTTTAGACTGATGGCTATTTCATTGTAAGAAACTTAGAACTGGAGATCATAAACCGAATGCTGGCAGTGTCATGCAGAACAAGTTTCTAGACCAAAGCCTCCTCAGCAATTACATCTGCAGTCATATCCTCACATGCCAAGCCTGCCCAAGTCCCATTGCAGCCCCAGCAGTGTGTATCTGCTCTTCAAGCAAGCAGCATTAAAAAGTGTGTATCACAGAGGAAAAGAACGTAAAAAAATCCATTACCCATGGTTTACTAAATGATTAATCCAAATGTTGTTTTAATTTTTCATGTGAAGAAAATGAAGAAAAAAATATTAATTTTTGGCCTTGAAATTCCCTTATTTCAAATTAATACAGGACGCAAAGACTGTTGACTCAGTTCTTTCTTAATTGGATGAAAAACTGTGGACTACCCAAAGTACAAGCCAGTGTTCAGAAAATTCCTTCCCTGGACATTTATATTATAATAAATTATTTCTCTTCAACTTTGTGTGTGGAAAAAGAAAAAAATTAACACCATTGTCAATTGTCACTCATCCAGAACTACTCACAGGCACAATCCATTTTGAAGCCCATGCTAGAGCAACTTTTAATTCAGTGGGTAACAGCCTACTGTTTTGCTGCCAGAGCATGTATTTCATTTCTTCCCTTTTGGCTATTATTGATGAAGCAAGAAAATCACCTCATTATCTTGTGTAAATCTAATCTCACACAAAATTACCATTTAAAAATCTACAACATTCTCCAGATATAAAGCTTCTGCAATTCAGGGCGTCGTCCCTCTTAACAGTCAGAGAACACAGTGTTCTCATTTAATCTAAATACCATGGATGAGTCAGATTTAATTCTGATTAGAGCTGTGGATTTCAAGTTGCAGATAAAGACTCAAAGATGGATGTTAAAATGGAGTTTTACCATGTATATAGTTTGGGAGGGCACAGCTGTGTTACATAACTTAGCAAAAGTCTGGCAGTGAGTGATGAACATTGGTAATCCAGAGAAAGTCCCATGACAACATTTTTCTCCTCTAATTGTTAAGCAAGTCTCACCTAAGCATGAACTATATTACATGTAAACACTCAAATCAGTGACTTTTTGTCATTCTGCCAGTAACTGCTGCATAAAAGGGTATAAATTCCATCATTCTGTCATTACTAGTTTCAATTTTTACAGGATTAGTTTGTTTTTTCTTCTTAGAACTCCAAGATTTTATCGTGCTTTAATGAATAACTAAAAGGGATCCAGACTCAGTAAGCCTCTGACAGATGTTGTTTAATATCATCATTCTTGTTCTTTTCAGAGCTTACACCATGGGGATTATATTTTGTGGTTTGATGTGTGATCTTTATAAGAATTTAACTATTTCTTTAGTTCATCATATGAAGATGCTATGTTAATGGCTGCTATTCCTGCTTAATTGTTGCTGATTTTTTTCTTTCCCTTGCATTTCCCAAGCATAATATCCTGTAAATCACCTGTCTTTACTTCTCAATGACATAACAAGACTGCCAAACAGTGACATATCATAGATAAAATGGTGTCAGCCAGTAGCTGTTAATGCTGTACAAATTTAGATGACACGATGCCCTTCCTTTGGATCTATCAATTATCTTCAACTCTTCCCTTCATTTTCTGATAGCACAAGCACCATCTTCGGTTCTATACATAAGGGAAGGAAGAATGGCAGACACAGAATAAGAGAAATATGATAAAGCTTGGGACACCAAGATGGCAGACAGACATGGAAGTAGATATCCTAAACAACTTTCATTATTTTTTTAATGTTCCAGACCAGAGATTTTTTTCCATAGGAGGAAAAAACAAATAAAAACAGTAACAAAAAAACAAACATACACATCATCACCAAAACAAAAACAACATCAACAACCCACAGTGATTACGAGATGGCTTTAAGAAAATGAGAAATATAGCAAATACCTACCCTTCTCTTCCTTCCTGGGATAGCAACCAAACACTATGGGCACTTAGAATAATTCATATAAATCACATAGCCCTCAAATACAACAGAAAAATGATCTTGAGCTTCAGCTAAACAGCACC